GATAGAGTTTGCTAGGTACTACTGGCAAGTCCTGACTGCAATGAAATCAAGAGCGATAAGAGTATCAAAATGCTAATACAGTGGTGCCTCGCAAGACAAATGCCTCGCAGGACAAAAAACTCGCAGGACAAACGGTTTTGGCAATGGGGGGTTGATGACTCGCAAGACAAATGTTCCTATGGCCATGCTTCGCAAGACGAATGCTTTCCATTTTTTGTTTCTGCCTCATGTTTGCTGATTTTTAAAAGTTAAAGTTTTTTTATTGAAGTTTTTTAAATCATCTGCACAATATGTATGGCTTTAAAGAGCACTTAATAAACCCTTTGTAGACCAAATTTGATTTTGTTCTGACTTTTTTTTTGCCCATAGGAACGCATTAATTAGATCTCGATGCATTCCTATGGGAAAACGCGTTTCGCAAGATGAATTTTTCGCAAGACAACATTAACCGCGGAACAAATTAAATTTGTCTTGCAAGGCAGCACTGTAAATCTATTATGGCATAAACTTTGGTTTAGGACAGCCCAGAAGCTGTGTTTGTAACTTGTATATACAACTAAAGTTTTTCAGAGTAACTGCCCAGTTAAATGTCCATGTGTGTACATGTGCAGGATCCAGCACAGGCTTTATTGCAGCCTCCCGCGACCTGGGGTCATTCAGTCCTGGGCACAGTTTGAAGTACTGGCTTTAACTTATAAAGCCCTAAATGGCTCGAGTCCAGGCTATCTCAAGGACTGCATCTTCCTTTATAAGCCTGCCTGGGTGTTGAGAACATAAGAGAAATGCTCTCTCCCAGTCCCACCACCCTCACAGGCGTGTTTGGTGGGCCTATTCCCAGCAGACTACACTTCTTCTGTAATACAGATTGCAATGAATCAAGAGGCTTTATGGCCGCCTTCCGTGACCTGGGATCATTCAGTCCTGGGCACAGTTCGAAGTACTGGCTTTAACCTATAAAGCCCTAAATGGCTCGAGTCCAGGCTATCTCAAGGACTGCATCTTCCTTTATAAGCCTGCCTGGGTGTTGAGAACATAAGAGAAATGCTCTCTCCCAGTCCCACCACCCTCACAGGTGTGTTTGGTGGGCCTATTCCCAGCAGACGACACATCTTCTGTAATACAGATTGCAATGAATCAACCTCTTACCGGTTTCTGGGTACAGCCAAAATATTCACCTCCCTTCTAATGAAGGCACCATTTCCTGCGAGATGTTGCTGTTCCTGTTTCTGATTACTGTACAAGTGGTGCCTCGCATTGCGACGTTAATTCCCTGCCTGGGTGTTGAGAACATAAGAGAAATGCTCTCTCCCAGTCCCACCACCCTCACAGGTGTGTTTGGTGGGCCTATTCCCAGCAGACGACACATCTTCTGTAATACAGATTGCAATGAATCAACCTCTTACCGGTTTCTGGGTACAGCCAAAATATTCACCTCCCTTCTAATGCAGGCACAATTTCCTGCGAGATATTGTTGTTCCTGTTTCTGATTACTTCTGTTGCTGCTGTTATTGAAACTTGGTTATCTGGCACATCTGTTTGTGCAGCTCTCCTGCAACAAGTCTATAGGTACAGTGGACCCTCGACTTATAGACAGCTCGACTTACAAAATTTAGATTCGACTTGCAGCCGGAGAATCGACCTACAGACCAGAAAAAAACCAAAAAAGGAATGTGTCACAAAGTGATTTCATCACTAAACGGAGCGCTCACTAAGCGAGGCACAACTTGTACTTCTGTTGCTGCTGCTATTGAATCTTGGTTATCTGGCACATCTGTTTGTGCAGCTCTCCTGCAACAGGTCTATAGGTATGTCTGTGAGAAGGCGGATCATCCAGTGAATACGAACAGAGCGAGCTGAATGTACAAACTGACATCCTGAACCCCTACTCCAGGAGTGAGCAGAACTGCTGATATGCACACAGAGCACAACGGGAAGTATAGTGGCAGAAGTTTATGAGCATAGATTACAAATTTTCAGAGAAGCAATAGTATGATTAACACAGACAATCAACTTTCGGAGTGCAGTTAAATAAACACCACGGCTGTATGTAGACTGATTATCTAGCAGATAAGCCTGTGTCTATTTTTGAAGTGCAAGGAAATTTTGTTTCAGGAAGTTTCTGGTTAGTTTGTTCTGTTGTGGTTTTCGTGTTTTGTTGTGTTACTATAGGGAGTGCCTGAATCAGCAACGTCCACCTAGATCAGGTGGCCGAAAGGGAGTTGAGGCTATAATGGAAATGTGTTTTCACAGTGTTGGTCCTGAAAACACATTTCTGGATTCAGAAGGGGCTCAAAACCACATTGTGCTCTTTAGGTTTTGCATTGTGCTCTAGTTCCTGGAGCCTGAGATCCTGGTAAAAATGCAAAGTGAATTCAAAAAACCTAAAATATTACTCACCAACCTCTGGTCTAAAACACACTGGTTTTTCTTGCACAGCTTAGATTCTACATTGCGGTGGGATTTGTTTTGATTTTGCTTTCACTGTGCTCACCCCGAACACCGGAACCTTTATCTAGGACACAGCACTAAGCTCTGGAAATCCCTCACAGTTCGCTGGTTTTCTAGCATCCTCAGCTTTGTTTCTCCCTTTCGACCTCATGTGGGGAGACAAATGCAGCTCACAGCATTGAAGCATCTGCACTTTTTAACTCACGGGGAGACTGACCTCATCTACAACTTCACTCAGGCAACAGAAACTAGATACCAAAGATCCAGACCAATCCCTTTTTCTGGGGAATTAGGGCTGTGCAGCTTGGGTTCACAAAGAGTCGGAGAGAACTAAGCGACTAAACAACAACAACAAAAGGGAAACTAGATACCAAAGATCCAGACGGGTTTACCAATCCCTTTTTCTGGGGATTTAGCGCTGTGCAGCTTGGGGTCACAAAGAGTCGGACAGGACTAAACGACTAAACAACAACAACAAAAGCTTGCCCAAGGACACACACAGCCTGGTTTCCACTCACACACGCACCCCGCCCCGCCCGGAGGCACACGGGGGCATCAAACTCCCAACCGTTGGTTCCACAGCCTAACTCACTGGGCTGTTCGGCCAGTTTTGCTTGGTAATTACAGAATACAAAACCAGGTGTTCAGGGAAGAAGGCCGTAGCCTATGCATCTTCATAGCATGCTCACTTTCTCCAATCGCTTTCTCGTGGTGAAATGTGGGGCTGGTGAGAGGGATCACCATGTAACTTCCCGGTTACAACAGCTTCACTAGCTGGGTGGCTGTTTCTGGCTGAGTTCAAAGTGTTGGCTTTGATACACAAAGCATTAAACAACTTGAGGCCAAGCTACCTGAAAGACTTCATCCCCCCTTATGAGCCTGACTGGATTTTAAAATCTTCAGGAGAGGACTTTATTTCGGTCCCACCATCATCACAGATGCGTTTTGTGAAGACACAAGACACGGCATTCTTTGTGGCTGCTTCTAAACTGTAGAACTCCCTTCGGCCCTGGCTGGGCGGCTGTTTCTGGGCCGAGTTCAAAGTGTTGGCTTTGATATACAAAGCATTAAACAACTTGGGCCCAAGCTACCTGAAAGACTTCATCTCCCCTTATGAGCCTGACTGGATTTTAAAATCTTCAGGAGAGGACTTTATTTCGGTCCCACCATCATCACAGATGCATTTTGTGAAGACACAAGACAAGGCTTTCTTTGTGGCTGTTTCTAAACTGTAGAACTCCCTTCGGCACATAACCAGGCTGGTCCCCACTTGGCTTTCTCTCTGCCAGCAGACAAAGATTATTCTCTTCAGGCAGGCTTTTCCCTCAGTAAGTGGCTGCCTAAGAATTGTTGTAATGTGCCACCTTTGACTTATGCTGACCCTGTGAATGAGTGATCCACAGAATGGCCTGTCCTGAACAACTCAAGCCCATGGTTTCCTATAGAGTGTCAATCTAGCTCATATTTGGTTTCTTTTTTTCCTGTTGCCTTCAACCTTTCCCAGCATTACTGTCTTTTCCAGAGAATCCTCCTTCTCATGATGTGCCCCAAGCAGGACAGCCTCAGCTTCAACAGTTTTGTCTCCTGAGATAGTTCTGGCTTGATTTGGTCTAGGACCCACTTATTTGTCTTTCTGGCAGTCCAGGGTATCCGTGAAGCTCTCCTCCAGCACCACCTTTCAAACAAACTATTTTTTTTCCTGTCGTCTTTTCTTAATGTCCAGATCTCACCCCAATACATGTTGATGGGCAATTCAAGAGGGTGGATGATCTTGATCTCTATTTTTTGCCCAAGATGGGGTTCTTAAGAACAGGGCCACTGTGGGTTTTTTTAAAAATACACATTAATATTGTTTGTTTTAATATTGTAAGCTGCCTTGAGTCCTCTTAAGGAGAAAAGTGCTGTATAAATATTTAAAATAGATAGATAATAAATAAGTAAGTTTGATTTGTTATAAGTCATTCTGGACTGCAGCCTACTGCATCGGAAGGAACACTGCGCTACGAGATATTTATACTCATACATCAATGGGTGGTGTCCAGGAACAGAAATAGAAAAAGTATAGACATTGTTGAATATTTAACAAACATTTGTTGGAAGGTGATATCATATTATCTGAGTCCTTATGGAAGTTATAGTTCAAAAAAGTAATTTGCCACAAACCTTAGCCCAGATCGACAGATTTGCTTATGCAATTGAATCTAATACTTACATGCCATCAAGTTGATCCTAACTTATGTTGACCCTTTCTAGGGTTTCCTAAGTTGTGAGTACAGTACTTAGAAGTGGTTTACCATTCTTTTGTTGAGAAACAAAGTGGGTTAAAAAAAAGTTAACACAGTAACAAAGGGTGACTATCAGTTTTAAGACTTAAATAGTAGAGATGCGCAGGAGGAAAATGTTGGGCCTGCCTTCCCTTTTGGTTTCTTTCAGGGGGTGTTTTCTTGCCTTGTTGGGTCCTTTTGAGTACTGTACTTGGTATTTAGCACAAAAAGGCCCTGATATTTTGTGCTCTTTTAATGTGCTCTTTTATTCTGGGTTTCCCCATTCAGATCTCTGCTGCTGGACCTAGTGAAGCTCTATAGAGCCCTCAAAATTATTCAAAGGATCAAGACAAGAGATGATAATCTGCTGCAAAAACAGGCAACATAACAACACAGTCATAAACAAATCTAGGCAACAGGCACTTTGCATCACTTCATATCCTTGACAACATCATTAGCAGGGAACAGCACAATGAAAAAGACAAGCATTAGCATTATCACCACTCTTGACATTCCGAATAAAGAAATCTGAATGAAACAGGATCGTTTCACGGCGGTTTCTTTCAGAATCCCAAGTCTATCATATTTCTGTCATAAAGTCAAGGAAGACTCCAAAATGAAAGCAAGCACCTCTTAAATGTTTTTATTTCTCTGTTTAAGTTGACCTGAAATTCCCAGGCCTATTTAAATATTTGTGAAGATCGCAAAGCAGTCTTGTTGGCCACACAGACATCCTAGCTTTCACAAGCTGATTTGCATTAATGGGCCAGAATGTTTTTGGAGATTTAAATTGTGCATAAGGACAACCACATAAGTTTTGGCAGAAAATTACTGCTCTTTAAGGAGCTACTGGTTTCATCCATGGGTGCCTAAGAATATCTTGCTAATGAAGAAGAATCTACACTCAAGACTTGTGCAACTTCTTTCAGTGCAAGCAAAAACCAGCAACAGGGTACTGGCCTTTATTTATTTGTTTATTTATATATTACATTTCTATAATGAGTTTTCCCCAGTAAAAGAATGGGAACCCCCTTCGTGGGCCATTATATGGGAAATGGCTGTTCAGAAAGAGATCTACAGTTCTGGACTTTGGAAGTTGTCCACACAAAGCAAGTGAATGCTTAAGAAAGAATTAGACTACTGGGTAATAAATCTAAACACCTTGGTCCCTAAAGGGTTAAATGAAGCAATAGATTTCCATCCCTGCTTTAATTATATGTTTGTTTTTTTTCCACTTCAGCGTGTTTGCAGACCAGCATGTTAACAGCATGACCTTGAATAACAGCTGTGCCTGAACTTATGTACAGGTTGTTTCCCCTCTGTATTTAATGGACCAAATAAATAGAAAAACACTAATTAGAGTTTAATCAATAAACATGGCATGTCTAGATAATATTTATGACTGTAGATTAAGTGAAATATTATTTTGATGTCCACCAATCCTGATTTTAATATATGGGTGCAATACTCCAGATAAGAGTAATATCAATTGACATAAGAATACAGTTTTTTTAAAAAATTATGAATGTGCTGTGGAATTCTGTATATACAAATGTATTCATATGATGTTGTCCACAAAAAATTCTAATGGTGTAATTGTATTTCTTTTTATGTTCCGTAGCTGAAATTTTCTACATCCAGGGACTCTAGTCTTCCTCTTTTTTGACCTAATATTTTAGTTTATTTATTTATTTCCTCCAACGGCTTTCTGCAGCTCCCTCCCAGCCACACACCCCTTAAGGGCATCATATGCACACTGCGGTATATGCAACAAGATGTGTCCCAGAATTGCAGAATGAATTTCATGGGTGGGCGAGTGGGGATCTAAACCTCGAGACTGAGTCCTTGTCCAGCATTCTAAGCCATACACCCACCGGCACCTATTTCTTTTCTGCCAACAATAAAGCTTCCGAATGGCTAGAGAAGGGCTCGTCTTACCAAATGCCCAAGTAAAATGATTTTCTTAGGCAGTAGATTGTGGTGATGTGGAAGCCTTCATGGTGACAGATGTTTGGCCATTCACCACTTCTGGAGGATAGAGCTTTGATTTCTAGAGTTTCATCTGCTCAGCTGGCTTGCTTTTTCCCCAGGTGCCGAGAACGCTGTCCTGGAACCACCAGTCCTGAAATAAGATTCAACTGCCCATCTGGTTGGCTTCCATACATAGAACTGGGGGAGGATAGGGATTCTTCATTGCCTCAGGCATCCAGATACAGTGGTGCCTCGCTAGACAATGATAATCCGTTCCACTGAAATCGCTGTTTAGCGAAATCATTGTCTAGCAAAAAGCATTTCCCCATTGGAATGCATTGAAACCTGTTTAATGTGTTCCAATGGGGAAGAATCGTCGTTGTCTAGCAAAGATCAGCCATAGGAAAGCCGCTTTGTGAACTGCCGATCAGCTGTTTAAATCACTATCCTGCGAAGCTTAGGGCCCGAAAACACCCGTTTTGCGAGCGCGGAGGGAGCTGTCAAAATCATCGTCTAGCAAAAATCAGTTTGCGAAGCAGGGACCAAACATTGTCCAGCGAAAGTCCCCCATAGGAATCACTGTTTTGCGAATTGCAAAAAGTCAATGTCTAGCAAAAAAAACCTGTCATGCGGGGTAACTGTCTAGCGAGGCACCACTGTACCTTGATGCAATCCTGGACCGGAGAGTGTCTGTGCATTTCTGCAGGTACAGGCTAGTCAAATCCTAGGATTAAGTCCACACATGACTGAACAGCAAGGTGATCACTTACAAGAGATTTGCTACAGGGGCGTATTGGTGAGCTTCATTTGCTCAAGCTGTTTAAAATCGAGCGAATGATCGGATTGCTACTTCCGGCAGGCACTCAGGGCATGAGTGAAATCAGGAGAACAGGTGGATCCTTGTCTTTTGCTATCCTTGCTACACCGAGAGGCGCTTTCTTCAAAATGACAGTTGTCCAAACATGCTGTTTTCCTGGCTTGAACCCACTTTGGGATTAAGAAAACTACGGAAGCAAATGCTTTAAATCCAGATTAAGTTTAACTGAATGCGGCCAAAACCCCCGCCGGGAAAGGAAGAACATGCATGCCAAGAAACAGGTGAGAATGACTTTCTATTTTAATGACAAGCTCTTGAAGCAGGAGGAACTATTTCCAACAGCTTGACAAATTCTTTTCCGTACATGCAAACTAGATTTCCAGAACAGAGAAGTTGTTTTGGGACTACAACTCCCAGAATCATCTAGGCAGTGTTGCCACTGACAATGCTGCCTAGAGGATTATGGGAGCTGTAGTCAGAAAGTAACTTGCTCTTAAATCTAGTCCAGAAATATTGCCCAATATATTTTTTAATGCTTAACTAATTTCAGAGAGATGATCTTGTCTCAAGAGGAAAGAACTGATCCAAGGGGGAAAGAATGTGTAGAGATCTAATCCATACAGCAAACGTCTCTTTTTCCTAGAGGCAAATTCTAGACTAAAATGAAGTACAGGAATATAACATAATAGGGCTTCATCTTCAAGCAGAATTTGTAGGTGCTTCGACATCTTTCATTGTAGGCAAATCTTTAATTTTGCCACTTCATCTGTTTGTTTGTTTTATTTTTAAAAGGATGGATGAAGCCTCCATCTTAGAAAATGTTTACCATGTGTTTAAGTCTTGTGTGCCAATAGAGGGAGTTAGAGAGGGAAACAAAACAGGGCTGACCCAAGACATTTTGCTGCCTGAGCTGAAGAACATTCTGTATACCAAAGCTGAACAGGCAGCTGCATCGTCTCTCTCCAGTGATGATGTGAAAATATCCTCTCATGTTACTGCAGGTGGCAGGCTGGTTTAGGCATCCTGTTGCTTAATCCTTCTAATATCCTATTGCCACCTCCCGACATCTTCCACCTGAGGCAACAGCCTCCCTCTACTTATTACAGAGGTGGGAAATCTCCAGAGGGTCTGGAGGCCTCACACATCCATCCCTAGATCTTGGAAGACTGCTGGATAGCTCAGCCGTTTCGGTCTCCGGCTGCAGAGCCAGAGTTCACTTCCTCACTTGTGTCTTCTTGACAGGGTCTCTGGACTCCAGGATCCATCGGGTCCCTTTATTTATTATTTATTTATTTATTTATTGGACTTATATACCGCCCCATAGCGCTACAAGCACTCTCCGGGCGGTTTACAATTTTAATTATACAGGCTACACATTGCCCCCCCAGCAAGCTGGGTACTCATTTTACCGACCTCGGAAGGATGGAAGGCTGAGTCAACCTTGATCCGGCTACCTGGGATTTGAACCCCAGGTCGTGAGCACAGTTTTAGCTGCAGTACAGCATTTTAACCACTGCGCCATGAGGCTCTTTCCAGCTCTGCAGTTCTAAGATATTATTTATTTTATAATTCTATTCCTGAAAACCTCCCCATCCCTCCCCATTTTGTACAAATTTGCTTACAAAAATTCTTACAAATTGAGAGTGGGGGCTTTTTGCCAGAATCAGTTTATATCCTCTCCCCCCCCTCATTTGAACATTTAAAAAATGTAAAGATGTGGGAGGGTCAGGCCTACTCAGAACTTCCCAGAAGATAGCAAAATTGCTTCCCTTCTGTCCTACAGAGCAACAGTATTTCTAAAGCCCCATCCCTCCCAAGTATTAAAATGTTTGGAGGACGTGAAGGATGCTGAGGTTGCATTGGCACCCTGAGGGCCAGGTAAGGCCCTTAGGGTGCATGTCGCCCACCATAGACAATAGGCCTGTGTATAGATCTAAAATGATGTTCCTGTATGTAGGTATCCACTACAGTGGTGCCCAACCTTGGGTCCCCAGATGTTCTTGGACTGCAACTCCCAGAAACCTTCACCACTAGCTATGCTGGCCAGGATTTCTGGGAGTTGTAGTCCAATTGCCATCTGCCAGCTTCTCAACCTAATGAAGAAGACTCTCAGCCCTCGAAATGTTTCGAGGGGCAGCTCAGTCCCATCTCTTCATGTTGACCATGTTGGTTGCTGGGGAAATCAAAGTCCCAAACATCTGGAGGGCTAATGTTTCCCCACCTTCGTCCTGAACTCTGCCCCTGCTAGGCCTTGATTAATGCTTCACCCAGTGTCTCCTGGTGCCTCTGCACTGCTGGGTCAACTGTTTCAAGGGTAGTGAACCACTGGTATACGGGAAGGATGACTCCCAGGCCCTGTGAAAGTGGCTTCATGGGATTAACAAGCCAAGTTCTACTTCTTCATCACAGCAAGCACCAAATTTGCAAATTTGTGGAGGAGCAAACCAACGCTGCAAAAGTAGAACTGGAATGACCACAAGTAATTATTACAAGTCCCAGAATGCTAACCAGGGCCTTCTGGAAGTTGTAGTCAAAAAAGGGCATTTCCAAAGCTCTGATATATACAAAGAGTGACATAACTTCATTCTTTGAGTATAGATCCATAATAAATAATAATAATCAAGTGCCAGCAAGTCAGTTCTGACTTATGGAGATCCTTTCCAGGGTTTTCTAGGCAGAAAGTGTTCTAAAGTGCTTAAGCATTTCCTTCTTCTTAGGGCATCCTGAGACTGTACAGCTGTGCAAGACCACACAGGTTGGCTCTTCTCCCAGGAGACACAGTGGAGGAATCCAACTCCCAACCTCTGGCTCTATAGCCAGATACCTAAACCACTGCGCTATCCAGATAAAAGAGCATAATCTTTGCCCAGTGTTAATGTTTATGATATATGGGAAGAGGAAGGAAGCCCTATAATTTGCCGATATGAAAAAAAAACAGGGAACACATTCTTATGGGGAACCACTACTAATAAACTCTCAAATCTTGGGTGTTGCTAACTCAACAGCATGCTGTTCCCTAAGATTTCAGGTTCAAACTTTGAGAACTGGAGAATGGGTCTCCAAACCTGCATTTCAGGGCCAACACTTTGCTCTGTACTACTGAATGGACAGTTAGCAACCTTTTACAAGGTCTGCTGTTTGAACTTTCAGTATAATACTTGCAGCTCAGTGGGGACAATAATGGCCAGTAATTTAAGCAAGGGTGCTATACTCTCTCTCTCTCTCTCTCTCTGTGTGTGTGTGTGTGTGTGTGTGTGTGTGTATGACTCTTTGGCCCCAAATCATATACTCGGGGAATATGCATGTTCAGGATGTGTGCATCTGTAAAGTCCACATCCACAGATGTCCTTCTTTCTTCAACAAACAGTCTATGCTGATTCTCTCTCTCTCTCTCTCTCTCTTTCCCCTTTCCTTTGCTTTTTTAATGTTATGAGATTGCTCTCTTTGAGGCATGTCCCTCCAAATATTCAGGGTTTATATCTGAGTGTGTTTGATCATATCACTCACTTTTGACTTCTCTGCACATTTGAAATGCATCCCTTTTTTTCTGAGTAGAAATGTATTCTTCTTTTTTTGTGTGTATGGTTCTCCTGAGTCAACAGGAGAATTCCAGAATGCAAATGGCATCTGGCCTGCAGACAGTTTGGCAAGCACAGACCCGCTGAAGTCTGGGGAGCAAAAAAAAAAACCTCAGCTAAAGCAGATTCCTCCTCCTCAATTCCTCGGTTGATTCAGTGACAAAGCTCATGCTTTGTATGCAGATGGATCCAGGTGCAATCCTCACCATCTCCAGGGAGGGCTGGGAAAAACTCCTCCTTGATGTCCTGAAGAGCCACTGGCAGTGAGCCTTGGGGAAAATGGGCTAGATGGATGAATGGACTGGTTCGGGACTAGGCTGCTCCCTATATCCTTAGTGACAACTGAGAACCTAACAGGGACCTATATGACTGTCTTGTCATAATCAAGGGCACCATTTTGCTTTCCAGTTCAAGACTTGATCAGTAACTCCTGTTGCTACATTAAGCAAAAATACAGAGTGCTTTATTTATATTCCCTCCACCACCACCCCGTGCACAAAAAATGATGAAAGCTTCTTAGGACAAGTTGGAATCTATCTAGCTATTCCATTTGTATGCCACTCATTCAGGAAAAAGCCACCAGGAATCAAGAAAACCAGAAAAAGTTTTAGTTGTTATAAGACAATCTCGTTAACAGAACTCTTGCTGTTTTCCTCTTTTGGTTTAGGGACACAAGATAAAAAGATTCATCCCAACAACACAACTAACTCTGAGATTTTGGCATAGCATGTTTCACCTCCTTTCGTACTGTTGGTCTTGGCTTCAGGCAATCCGAGAGCCAATCAGGTAAATCAGATAATTTTTTAATTCACATATAGTGTTATTATCGGTTTTTAATGTTTTCCATGTACTACCATGTACACTGATGGTATTATGTACAGTATGTGATTAATTATAAACAATAATAGCAACTTTTGTGGTGACTTTAGTCACCCTGTTCTTGGGGGAGAAAGTCCCCCACATTTTTCTGTGGGATATATTTTGTTAGCGTACTGAAGAGTCCAGAAAGCTCAATTTTAGAAAATATAAATTCATACACAAATGCTATGACTTCTGACCATGTGCAGAATACTTGCTTCACTGTGTCTGCTATAATTTGACATATAAGAGATGAAACTTCCCAGTCAAGAATGAAGAGCTTTCAGTTTTTATGTTTGTTTGTTTAGCTTTTTTTTTGGCTAAAGTCAATTAATAACAAGAATAAACATAAGAACAGCGATTAGAAGAACTACCTGTGGTTCTGGACCAGGGATGACCAAACTTTCTGACCCAAAACAGATGGAGGTTACTTAATTAGCTACTCCACAAGATAGTAAGATGTCCCCCACAGCTCTTTCCCAACCTGATGTGCTGCAGGACCTGTGCTCTATTTGCATAATCCAGAATAAAGGTTGCTACGGCAATAAACTGAAGCCCTTGCTGGTCGCCCAGCCGTTCTCCCCGTGCTTCTGTTTCAGGTATGTCCTGCTCTTTCAGCCAGACCTGCACCCCACAAAAATCACCATGGCAACAACACAGAAAGCAATGCAAGGCCTACCTGCTCTAGCCTGCTTCCTTTGAGAAAGATGGGGTCTGCTTCCACCAGCAATGGGAAAGAATGGTTCAAATTTTGCTTGCTTTTCTTGCCCCACTTTGCCCAAAAAGAGTGGTTGCTAATTAAGGGCCAAATAGCACAAACTCTGTTATGTATGTGTGTATTTAAAAAAGAACATGCTTTGCATAATATCTCTTTCATAATCTGGGATAACTTGGCAAGACGGTGGTTTAAGGAGAAAGTTTTTGTTCAAGTCTTTCTCCAAATCATCATCCCCCCCCCCCGGTGAAAAATTCTAACCCTTCCCACTGCTCTTTTGAGCCAGTAAAGGAGAATGGTCAGTGTCAGGCGGGCATTTCAGAGATCCATATTCAGACTCCCACCGAATCATGAAACTCACCGAGGGTATGAACACACACAAGAGAAATGGGTCCCTTTTTGGGTCGCGAGTAGCTCAGCCAAGTGGGAGTGATTTCCCAGCAACCATACACAACATACAGGCACTTGTGCTCCAGCCTGACCCTGATCTATGTCCAAGCGGGACCTTTTGTGAGCCAACAGTGGGGCTGCTCATTTTGGGGGCCAGGCAGGAGCGATTCTCCAACAGACGGAAGGGTTGCTTTAGGAGAGATCGCTCCCAGCAAAGTGACCCTTTCTGGTGCGATCACTTTTCTTGCCATCTGACCACATCCTCAGTGACATGGCACCAGTCACTCTCCCTTAGCTTAGCTTCCTTCTCAGCATTCTGAGGATAATATGGGAGGCGGAGAGCCATGTATGCCACTAGAACCCATTAAAGGAAAAGCAAAGACAGAACCATGGACGGATGGAAGAAAGGCTGCAATCCTGTTAGTGTGCCTTACAACTTGGATGAGATCTTTGTCCGGCAACAGAAGGCTTTCACTTAATTTAAAACTTCCTATCCCACCCACCCCCATTTCTGGAGTTTTAAGGCTACCTAGCAATTCCTTTTACCCTGGGGAAGTGTTTGGGTGCCTTGGGGAGGGGCAGGAACTTTTACTATCAGAAATTTGCCAGCAGATTTCTGGCAGTGATCCCAGTCTGCCCCATGGCGATTTTGTGCCATTAAAGCCTCCCCCACATCTCAAGTCTCCCAAATAACCAATTGAAGATTTGTTGTTAGATGGTGATGCCATCTGGATTGTCTACTTATGGCAACCGGATTTCAGCCAATGAATGAATCAATGAATGAATGGGTGGGTGGGTGGATGGATAGACGGATGGAGAAATGAATGAACAGACAAATGGATGAACAAATGGATGAATATTGGACTTCAGTTTAACCCTGTCTTTCCTCTTCCCCACCAGAAAAGTGACCATCCTGGTTCTTGGGCTAGACGGAGCAGGAAAAAGTTCCCTTATAAAAGAAATCCAGAGAGGTGAGTGATTAAGTTGAACTATTTATATTAGGGCTGTTTGAAAAGAAGCGTTTATTCTCCATACTGTGCCTGGCTCTTTGCTGATGGTATGAACAGCTTCCCTATCATCCACATGATGTGGGGGCTCATCTCAGTTCAAACAACAACCAACATCTATAATTTTCTGGGAGCTTTTTGTACCCTCCGGAAGCTTCCTGTCTCCCCGTTGTTCCTTCCAGGGAGCAGAGGTGGCATTTGGTGCCACAGCACATCCCAAAAGGACGTTAATTTCCACAATCAGAGCCTCCAGTTGGAAGATTTAAACTGTCAGTTAGCTTTCCGAACAAAAATCAGCTCTAGAGAAAAGACTCCAACAGAAGGTGTCCTCAAGTACCTTAAGACTCAAATATTTACGCATTGCAATGTCCTGTGCATCTACTGGAAATTAAGAGGGAGAAACAAAAATTAGCTGGCACCTGGACTATGTCTGTTTTTGGCTACTGTCGCCTGCTTTCTGTCTTGCAGTTCTCTCCTGTGAGGTGCTCCCTACCACAAAGCCCAACCAGACTGAGCTTCGAGTGGACAGGTTTGAGGTGTCTCTCGTTGACGTGGATGGAGGGCAACGAGCCTGGAAGGACCACTATAGCACAGCTCATGGGATTATCTTTGTGCTCGACTCTGGAGATGGGGCCCGGATGGAAGAGGCCAAGAAGACCCTTTCTCGGGTTCTGGGACACTCGAAAGTGTCAGGAAAACCTCTGTTACTGTGAGAGTCTCCATCTCTTTGCCTCTTAATTTATTCTAGCGTGTTCTGTGCTAGAGGGCTGGGTCTAAAATGAGGAATTTTATATCTATTTCTAGCTTGTGGTCAGATCCATGTGGCAGTTTAAAGAGAGGACAAAACTGAGCTTAAAAATAACTCATTGCAAATAACAAGCTACTAGCAATGAAGTCCTTTTATTTGCAATGATATGAGGGAAGTTTTTGAGATGGCTTTTTTCACAACTTGGCCTTTCCCCATTGACTGACATTCACAAAGGTTTACCTGATATAATCCTCCATCTATTCATAATTGCTTGTTTCAATACCACTGTCTTTTTTCTTAAGGAAATCTTTAAGGATGACAGGAAATATCTGTGGAGTGCCTTCTAATTGTTAATGTAAAAAAAACTTCATCTGAAACCATCCAGAGTTACAAATTGTAACACGCTCTAGTTTAATTATTTTTTAGTTGCAGAGGGAATGTGACCTCACTAAATCTGATGAGTTTTGTATCACAGGTTGTAACTTTTTGATGTTTTTCGACATAACTGAAAAGGTAAATATTTTGAGTAACATGAAAGTAAAGAATCACTTTTTAAAAAAATCATAATTATAATGCTAACTATTTTGGGAAAGTCAGAGTTGAAACCATTTTTAAAAAAAGATTATTTTCCAAGATCTAGGAAGCTAATCAATAGCAATATCTTAGATTCACTTGTTAGTCCCAACTAGAGAAGACATACAATACAGTATTGGATCAGCAGATCTTAGATGTTTTAATGTAATGAGTCCTATTGATTGAATGGGTCTATTCTAGTTGTGACTAAACATTTACGTTGGATTTAGGTCATTATTTTGTTGTTCTGATACACTAAACACTATGCTCACTCCATCTTTCTGATGAGCAAGAAATTTCAATGCTGAAGTCCTTGCCCAAATTTGGCTTCTTTCTGAAAAAGGTTACCAAAGACTATAAGGTACTTTGTATTTATTTGCACATATTGAGTTAAGTCCAAAGTTAGTGCTAACCAGAATAGACCCACTGAAATCAATGAAACTTAACACTGTGACTGACAGACAAGTCCCATTCATTTCAGTGGGATTGCTCTAGTTGAGCCTTATATTAGACTATGACTATTGAGCACTGGTGAAAGCACAACGTAAGCGCAACAGATAACCAATGTCTACTGCTCTCACATCAAGCATCCCTAAATTGTTTGGGCAGCTTAACTCCAGTATTGTGTGCTGTAGGGTCGGTCTTTGGAGCATGAATGAACAAGAGGGCCCCTCTCAGATACAGCAAGGCTGACTTATAACCCTTGTGATGCATCCAATGCAGAGCAGGCAAGGGTTGGTAGGACCTCGAACTGGTTGTGGAAATGCGCACAAGTGGAATCCAGAAATATGGGCTCAGAATCAAAATGAATGTGGCGATAGGGCAAATCAGAGCCAAGAGGGAGGGGTATCTTCCTGTCACCAACCAGCTGACAAGATGTGCTAAGAAGAAGCTGAAGAGCTTACTGCCATTCCTGCTAGGGCTCACGTTCCACGCAGCCTTACCAACTTCACACCTGAGACAGGTGGAAATTTTCTAGGGTCTGTAAGGACTGGTGGAAAACTTACTCAGAGGGAACCTTTTCCCAAGCTCTGTGCCCTCGCTCCTAGGGTTGGCGCAGCAAGAAGTCTCGCCAGTTGTGACACGGGTGCTTTGCAATGTGTTTTTCTCCAAATGATACAAGAGGACTAGCCACGTAAACCCACCAGCTTTAAGTAGAGGTGGATGCCAAGGCGCTGAAGCCACCTCACACACAAAAATCAGCACCACCGCCCCTTCTGGTGCTGCTTGCCCTAGAATGTATGTCTCTAGCTGGACAATTGGAAACACAATTGTGTCCTCTGAGATTTAATCCAGTACCCAAAGATCTGGCAGTCTTTATTGCCAAGGATGAGAGACCTCTGGACTAGATATCTCCCACTGGACACACATTTCATCAGTTGTCCTTTGCAGGCTTATCAAAGCTAAGAAGGTATTTCAAGTCACGAAACCCAAATATAACTGAGCTATGTTTTAAAAGTCAGGGAAGCTGTTGTATGGGAGCGCTGTGCTTTTCGGACAGGAAGAAGGCTTTTTCCGGGGTGCCTCCTCTTGAGTAGCAATCCACAGAGTTGAGCTGTGCTTTGTATAACTGGGTGGTGAAATATCCGCCGTTTTAAGCAGTAAAGCCCTACCAACTGTGAGCATACTTTTCGCTTATGGCAAGTTGCCTTTCTCTTTTCCTGCTGGGTACTGTTTCCTGTATCATCCTCGGATGGGTCAAGGCTGGCCAACAAACAGGACAAAGTGGATGCCCCCTTGCCTTGCGAAATCATCGAGTGCCTGTCTTTGGAGAAGCTGGCGAACGAAAACAAATCGCTGTGTCGGATTGTAAGTATGAGAATGTCCTCTTCGCTCAAGGCAACCAGAACATTTTGTCTTTCTTGATCACCTTCATGCTGCTTTCAAAAGTTTTGTGCAGCTTCGTTCTCTGTCATACCTTGGAGTTTTTACTGGAATGAAGGAGCACTACCATTGTTTGAGATCATCAATCCATAGTGTTCTCACATTCAGTGTCCTCCAGGGGCGTAGCAGTAAATTATTAAGTCCAAGCATTTATCATGATATATCACATAACTCTGCCCCCAAATCATAAAAAAAAATGTAGGGATCTTTATTGATCCATCACAGCTCTATTGTGATGTGCCATCAAATCATTTGTTGACTTAGGGTGACTCTGAGTTTTGAATAGTTTATTAGTGGTTGTTAACCCCATCTTACATAATACTGAAAGATATAAAACAATAAAACCTTATAGAGATAAATTAGTAAAAAGATACACAGTTTACATAATAAAACCACTTATAAATAGAGCACTATGTATGGCTTGCAGAACTAGAACCTCTGGCAATCATACATCTGTAGGTGACTCTGAGTTTTGAAGGTATGTGAGGTGTTCAGGAAGTGGCTTACTATTGCCACTTCCAGTGAGTTTCCGCGGCAGAGCAGGAACTGAAATCCAGGCCTCCTGCATCCCTAGTCTAACAGTGAAACCATCACCCTGCTCTAGCTCTCAGACCAGTTCTAGTAGTTTTCATTGCTGTCCTTGTCTTTTGTAAAACAAATAGGTATTGACCACCTTTCCAAGATTAAGCTGTTCAAAGATACATATGATCACAAGAGGGAGAATGCAACACATTAATTCAGGGGTGGAAATAGTGCAGTATGGATTGGAAGATGGGGTTGATGCAGCCTCCGACGCTCCATAGCTATCCACCTTGACAATACAGGATTTCTGGAAAATCCACACACATATCAGACCTGAGCTACTAGGAGGGCTGTAGCTAAGCTCCGAGAGCAGAAGGAAGCCTGAGTGAGGTCACTGATGATATCGTTGCTCCTACTAATTAAAACATCCTGGCTCTCCAACCTTCAATGGAGCCTTGTGGTGCAGTGGTTAAACTGCAGTATTGCACTCAAGACTCTGCTCATGGTCTGAGTTCAATCCCAATAGTCTCAGGTAGCTGGCTCAAGCCTGACTCAGCCTTCTATCCTTCTGAAGATGGTAAACTGAGTATCCGCTGGCTGGGAGCGGGCAATGTGTAGCCTGCATAATTAAATTGTGAACCATCCAGAGAGTGCTTTAAGCATTGTGGTGTGGTATATAAGCAGCACACTTTGCTTCTGAGCCCTGACTGACCCCATTACTGGCTGAATCTCGATCTTCAACCCACAGACTGCCCTCATTAGTTCAATGCCAGGTTGTCTGCAGGAACACTCCATGCTGTTACAATGGGCCTACAAGGTACGACCTCTGCGTACATTAAAATAACACAAAAATGTTGGATTCTGTGTGGGGCTGACGGCTTCCTTGTCCACCTGCCCTCACATGCCATGGGTTCATTCTGAGTCTTCTTCGTCTTCATCTTCACAGGAGCCTTGTTCGGCTACCAAGAGACTCCCCAAAATCCAGTGCTGGACCATTGTTCAAGGGCTTCACTGGCTTCTGCGCACCATTGCCAACAACTATGTTGCCCTGTGTGGACGCATCCAGGAGGACAACCCAGAGCAAGAAGGGTCACTCAGGGAGGAGGTGTCCAGGAAAGCACAGAAATCCCGGAACAGGAGGACACAGGAAGCCAGGTTCCATTTTCTTCCTGCTACTTTACAGAGTGGAAGGGAGGGCGCCTGGTGCCAATTTATCTTTGGATCGGCATCACATTAACACAACCAAGAGGGCCAGCTTGGTTTGAAGTGAAGCTAAGCAGAGATAAAAGCCCGTAGTCTTGGCTATGCTTCGTAATTATACTGCAGATGAAAGATGTTGTACAGTTCTTATTTGATTTGCTCACACTTCTGTGAGGCA